GCATTTGGGGGTACATCTAATGTTGAGTTAAATCACAAAGGGGCTCAGGTGGCTTTCAGGCAAGGTCTGAAAGGGCCAGCCAAGGAAGGACACATGATCCTGCAGAAGCTCTCCTGTTACCCTCTGAAGGTTTATAAATAGCTTTGACCCAGTAAAGTGTTTTTGTAGTGGTCTGTAGCTTGCTCTCACAGCGTTGTGAGATTTCCTCACGAGTTCACATTCAGCGTCTACAACTAAACACATCAATCTGGTGTAAACCTGTTCTGATGATTCAAATATTAACCCAAGGAGAAAAGAAATCTTTTCCACTTTATATCTGTAAATATCATGTTGGTCCAGGTACTGCCCATCCTTCTGCAGCTGGCATAAATTCAGCATAAAAACATAAAGCTAACCTAAACTTTGTTGCATGTACTAGCTAACGCAAAAAATGTGATGGTGTGTAATGCCTTATCGGTATTAAGTCTCTACTGGGATGTGATCTGATGCGATGATGCACTACTGTGCTGTCAGTCTGCCTCACCTGCCTCATGCGGTGGCAAACTGCAGAGACATAGGCAGTGCCTGCTCCATATCCTAGGGAAGAAGAGGTGGTGGGTTCCTGGCTCACTGCTTTTTCCTGAGTCACAGCCATTAGCACAGCCCTGGATAACAGACTCACCCAAATTAAGAGCGAAGGTCTGCAACTTCAGTGATGAACTGCAGATCCCCCTGCTACCATAAGGTACCTCCGGGACTAGCTGAATATTGCTGCTGAAATAGAATTAATAGGATGCTAATTATTACGTTTGGCTAGGAAAGACAAGCGAGGAATTGTATCCAAGGGGTGCTAGCAGGAGCCAGCTGAAAGGTGGCCAGTTAGGCAACGAGGATCTGTTTGGACTGTGGAGGAGTAGCCCTCAGTCAGGCTCCCTCCCTCCAGTTACTGCTGAGTAACACAGCCCCGCGGCGGCACATTTCTCTCTGAATTACAGTCTAGTGGAAAAAGGGTGCTAGAGCTAAATATGTTTCTGGTTGGTGGGCAAGGACTCTCAGCCTGCCACTAGCATATGAGAATTCCTTGTATTTGGATTTAAGCAATCTGAAGTTTAGCTCCCCTGAAAAGTGGAAAAATGGAACAACCCAGTGACAAACTTACTTCTGTTATTCTATTATTTTAGGTTGATTTTCATTTTCTTTCTCCAAATATTTTGAATTAAAGCAATTGGTACTCAAAGATTAGATTATCTAGTTAGTTTTTGCCATCTCCTTGAGACTTTTGCAAAGCAGCTCTTGAGCCCTCATTGCTGCTACCTTGAAGAGAGCTACACAGAGTCGAGCCATAAGAAATATGCAGAGCCTTGGAAAAAAGGACAGAGAATGCACAGGTAAGTAAGCGTACAGAAAAGGAGAACATAAAGAAAAGTAGAGGAGGTCAACATGGAGAACCATAGTGAAAGTAATAACATACATTCACCGGTAGCAGAGGATGCTAGCTACATTTCTGCTCCCATTCACAGGACTATTGCAGAACTGGGCAAGCGCCAAGTCATTGGCTATATGGTTTATACAAGCAGCTTCACTGTGATCTGAGGGGCAGTGGTTTTTGGAGAGGGTCTTCAGCAATGGCAGGTGGTAGAGCCTCTGAATTGGAAGCTTTCTTTTTCTCTCTCTCTCCCCCCCCC